TATATGACAGCGCATGAGGAGTTGGGCCCGCGGAGTAGGACCAACCCGAGCTGCAACGTCAACAGGTTACACACATGATAGATATAAACAGGTTCAAGTACTTGTATAAATCTTATCAAGTGTAGATTTTAGATACCAGTTCAATGCACGTATTTGTGGTTCCCAGATACCACAATACTTAAGCGGTGTAATCGGCAATAGAGATGGGCATCGTTTTGGGGATCGAACCCCATTTTGATTTTTGACCACATTTTGAAAAACGAACGATGGACGAACGACTTAGATCGTTCAGAGAAATGAAAAAATATCTTTTTTAAAAAAGAACGAAAAGAGAACAAAAACAAACGATTTAAAATTTTTTTACTGAAAAAAAAACGAATTTTAAAAAGGATTTTGAAAAACCATCGTTTTCTTACTTAATAAACGAGTTTTTCGAACTAACTAGTTTCAAAACTGTAGGTTTTTACGTAATTATAGTTTTTTAACAAACTTTTGATTTTTAAATTAAAAGAACGATTTTGCTGAAAGATCGTTCAGTGAGAAAACGAACAATGATTTTAGGAACGAACGAAATCAATGTTTTTGATCGATCGAAACAAAAAACATATGAAATGGGTCGTTCACAAACGATGAACAAATGAAATGAAAAAAGTCGAATGCGCCCATCTCTATTCGGCAAAACGATGGCAGCAATTCTCGTATATATCAAGACATTGGAAATTTATTTTTTTCTTCAGTGAAGGAAATGAGAGAATTAATTGCATCTTGTTTTAATAATTTTTAATCGAGTGTTTGAGTTTAGGCAGCTCCTGGCTTGATATTCTCAAATGTATTTCCCAGCTGGAACTAGCGCAGATGATAGGAAACCAACTAGTTATTGTACTTTACGCTACAATGTACCATACATGTGGTATTTGTTGTACAGAAACATTGTACCAAGCAAAGACTGAACAGTGTGCATAAAAAATGATTTTAGAAGTTGACAGTTTGTGTTATCTGGCTTTTAAAATAGCATTTTCTAGATGGGAACAGTTGATAAGACGTTTTTCTCTTTTCCTATTTGAAGAATTACTAGGGTTTCTCATGAAATATCTATATTCAAGGAAATTCATGTCTTAACATCACGGTTTAGTAGTTTGAGATCTTAAAATATACTTATAATATAAGTTTCCTCTACAAATAAGGGTGTCCCACGAAACTTGACAGTAACAAGACGACTTGAAGGTCGTCTTTGATTTTTATATAATTTGCTGCATTTATTTGTCAACCATATTTTAGAAGTACAATTCCTGAGATAGTAATCACAAAGTGCCCCTAGTCCGAGCATTTCTAAAATGTGACCTGCCTTTTTTGTGCTTTCACTATTATACAAGATATTTCGACAATTTTTGTTTTATTTAACAAAATTGTAACCTGAACAAAATGTTTAATATCTCCAGTAAAATTGACGGCACAAAAAAGGTAGACCACATTTGGAAATGCCAGGACCAGGAGAGTTGTGTAGTAATTGTTTAAGAATCATATATGTTAAAGTTGGTTGACGACTATATGTCACAAATAAATTCCAATCTCTAAGACGACATTTAGTCAACTTGCTACTGTAATGTTTCGTGGGACACCCTGAACATTCTACAATATACTAAAGCAATGAACACTCTTTTCTTTAGACAAATCTTTCAATTAAACTCTATTTATGTGATTGGTATAATTCTTATGTTGAGCGTAATTGAGAAATAAAAGTTTAATATGTTTAATTTGAACTGACACTGAACTGGTTGGTTGGTATCAGGTACCGGGGTGAAGAACCAGTTCCTCGCTAAATCCCAGTTGACCGGGACCGAGATCTCCGCCTTCAACCTCGGATCCCTGGGGGACGTTCTTATGACACCCCTTCACACAGCCCACCATCACGAGGTCAGACATCTAATAGTTGAAGGGACTGTTCACTTATTTGAAAACATGTGTTTTTTTTAAATAGGAACACAATTTTACACACCCTATCTTGAATTTCACAAGAAAACCCTTTTTTCACATAATATATCAGATATTTAAGTGGAACAATTGTCAGAGTTATTTTTCTAAATTCTCAATTTTGACATGATGTGAACTCTAAAATAGGGGATTTGGTCGTGTGGCTGGGAATTTCGCAAAGATAAATCTGAAATTAAAATTTTTATTTATGAAAGAAGTCCGGCCTTAAAAACCAGGATCGGAAAGGACTTCAAACACCGATAACATACTGGATTCTTTGGTCATTCCTACAACTTGTGATTTGATTTGATAAAGAGAGATGAAAAAAGTGTAATATTTTCTCACTGTATTTCTTGTATTGTAGGGATATAAAGATAATCTTCATGAAACCAGTTCCCAGAGTGTAGTGGTTGCAGTGGACAGGATTTTTACAGGTAGAGCAATAAAGTACTATAATGCAATTATCAAAATAGAATCACATTTCTATTCCCATTTAAAGGGAGTGTATGCTAAAAACTAATAGGAGAAGATGATGATCTATTATTGGATTAAAATTCGATCGGCACGGTATCAATTCTTATCCAGTGTTTTTGGAAAGAATTTTTTGCACAGGCCGCAAAAGCGCATTGGACCCCTATTTTACAAAAATATTAGATAGAATAAAGTAGTATCGAACAGTTATAAGTACGCCTCATGCAATCGGTCCTGTCTAATTGGCGTTATTTTCTGAACACCTTGAATAAGATTTATTTCTTCATTAGGTTCTACGCAATTGGATGGAGATGCTATTGTTGAATTCGTCCGAGCGCTATGTCAGGTTAGTCCTAATATCACGTGATTACAAGATTAAAGATCTTTGTGACAATGTAACGTAAAAAGGATCATTATTGGATTTTCACCTTTTCTTAATGTGAAAGTTTGTCAAAATAAGACATGATGAACTATTTAGATGGAGGATATTGTAATAACCCATTGAATAATTTAGTTTGTTTTCATGATTGATGATAGTAATGCTTGTAGGTGTCGATCGACGAGTTGCTGACGGTGCCGCAGCCCAGGATGTTCAGCTTGACGAAGCTTGTTGAGATCTCTTACTACAACATGGGCAGGATCAGGCTACAGTGGTCTAGGATATGGCAGGTTCTAGGTAATATACTATTCTAGATCTCTAGGTTCTATGAAATATATTATTCTAGATCTCTGGGTTCTATGTAATATATTATACTAGATCTCTAGGTTCTAGGTAATATACTATATTAGATCTCGAGGTTTTAGGTAATATACTATATTAGATCTCTAGGTTCTAGGTATTATACTAAATTAGATCTCTAGGTTCTAGGTAATATACTATATTAGATATCTAGGTTCTATGTAATATACTAAAAATAGAAAATCCGTGAATTTTGAATTGTTAATAGGTTAAATTATAAAAAAGGTGGGGCTAACAGATAATTCAGCAACAAAAAGCTCCGATTATTAATAGAAAAAAGTCTAGAAATTTAAGCTATGATATGACTGTAAAATAAAACTGAAGTTTTTGAAGTTGGAAGATTTTCTCTAATTAAATGTATCAAGAAACATCTGTTCAGGAAATTAAATGATATTTGAAACTTGATTTAGAAATTTGATATATTTCCTCGTTCAAGTTCTGAAGTCAGATTTAATGAAAAGTAGATTAACTAGGTACAGCTAGTTGAACTTTTTCTCTAGATCACACAAGAGGAGTTGTTCAACTTTTTGTTCCTAGTTCCTAGTTGCTATTCATTAATTTCGACCTTGCAAATGTGAAAATTGTTTAATATTCTGTGATGTTGTTAATATTTTAATGTTAACAAAGAAACTTTAGAAAATCTCCAGAGGTTTTTTCGGTAATGAGATATTTTTTCAGATTTTTGTTGAATCTAAAATTGAGGGGTTTTGATTAAATGAAGTATCATTAAAAATAGCTGCATTGTTCATTTAAAAATATGACACAAATCATTTGCACAAAAAAGTACAATTTGCACCAGGCGCGCAAATCGCACTTTTTTGTTTGGCTACCCCTGTATTTTCAAGGGACAATCCATTTATAGAGTGGCATGTCCAATTCAAAGCCATGTAAACCTTTGTCTGAGTAAACATAATGGAGCGCCCTCATTTTCTATTTTAAAATTGATTTTTTCCATTTGTGGTTTCTGTTAAAAAAACATTTTGGGATTTATGCTACCAAGTCAACGTCAGAATTCAACCCGTTTTGTAAGAGAACAACTATTTTATCTTTCATGTTTTTCCTCAGATAGAGTACTGTTATGAATCTGATATGCGATTCTTTATGGAGAGTCACTTGATTTTTTGTCTACAGTCCCCTTTTAAGACTTATTTAGTTTGCCCGTATTCACCCCGGATTAACCAGAGTGAGCAGCATCCGGTTTCTTCGATTTTAAATCAAACGTGTTTTGGTTTATAATAATTCAACAATCTTTTACCTTACAGATTTGTTTATTTTATATTTTTTATTCAAAATGCATATGCCGACAAAAAAATATTTAAGACAAAAGTCTAAAAAATGATGTTCAAAAGGACAAATTGTGATCGAAAGGCACAGCTTTCTGGAATATTGATAGAACCGTGAAAGTTATGTTAAATTATCTCTGTTTCAGGTGATCACTTCAATGTTGTTGGGTGTAATCCGGTTCAAGATATTTCATTCTTTGCTGTAGATTCACTTCGTCAGCTGGCAACAAAGTTTATCGAAAAGGAAAACATATTTTATCAAAACAATTTCAAATGAATTTAGAAAACGACGAATTTTGAATTCTTAAACTTATTCTTCTTTTAATACATTTGATTCATAGATGAAATGGCAACTTATGATGAAAAGGAATAAGAGTTGCAAACTTTTAAATCAAAGGAATGAGTTGATCTCTTTCATTCATTCATTTGATACTGGTATTTATGATTTATTACGAAAAAGTTATGATTAAAATATGAGTTTAGGGGGAGCTGCCACAGTTCCATTTTCAGAAAGATTTTTTAAGGTAAAGAAAACTCTTATTTTTGAATTGATCATTTTTAATTTGAATCGACAAAAAAAATTTGAGGGGAAATATAATTTTATTTTAGACCGTTTGAGCATATTATGAAAAATAATAAATCTGGTAGTGTGAGAGATATGGTTGTCAGGTATTATTATTATTATTATTATTATTATTATTATTATTATCCGCAAACTCAAACTGNTTAATGTCATTATTATTATTGTCATTATCAATATTATCATTATCAATATTATCATTATCAATATTATCATTATCAATATTATCATTATCAATATTATCAATAATATTATTAATTTTATTGATATTATTAATATTAATATTATTATTAATAAAAGAATAAAAGAAAAAGTCTTGAAACATTACAGTCTCTGGTACAAACCATACCTAAACATAAAACTGCAATCATGCTCATTTGATATCGAGATCAAGCATTCAAGATTAACAATGTCTGCACAAAAGTTTCGCGACTTAGTTCTTTTTATTAATCTTTATATGTATTGAATAAGTCTACAACTTTTCTTGTGTTATTTTAGCTTTCACTCTTATAATTCCATTTCTTTGTCAATTAAGAACTTTATTTTGGATGGGGTGAAATGCCTTCTAAAAACTCAACATTTTTTAATCGCTTTCTTTTAGATGTGTAGCTAACATGGTTCACAGTCAGTCCTCTAATATAAAATCTGGTTGGACGAATATATTCTCAGTATTTCATCTAGCTGCAGCTGATCAGGTTTAATATACGTTCATTATATAAAGCTGCGTTGTATGTATCTATGTAATATGTATGTATGTTTGTACAGGGTTACCCTCAAAGGATGAGACTTCAGAGACGATTGTACAGATTTTATTCTGTCTGTTTCATTCACGATTCCCTGAAACTATTAAACTATTTGCTAAATCATTAAATAAGATATTAGATTACTATACCTAAGGCAGAAGACATAATTTTCACATTTTAAGAGTTTCAGGTTGTCTTAACTGTCTCATCTTTTGTGGGTAACCCTGTATGTCACGCTTATGAATGTCCTCACTCTTGAACGTGCACGGCGGTCTCATTATAAGTCATATATTTCACGTCAAACTAAAGTAAAATCCATGAAGATTAAAATGGTATATGTTTTTTATCATAACTTCTCTTCTTTAAGATATATTAAAAAGAACAAACATGTTTTGAAACCCTGATATGGAACCGAATAAATTTGTTCTTATTATACTTGCGCGTAATATCAACACTAGAAGAGTTATCACACTTTTCAAATCTGAAACGGAATAGTGAGGAGTATTAAAAAATTAGTTTGCTTTTCTTTTCCTGCTATTTTTGTTTGAAGAATAGATAAAGTAGTACTTGTAAGGTAATTGGACTGTATGTGTACCTTTTAAGTATCTTAGAAGCCAAATGTTTTGAATTTACAGTTTAAATTTTGCCACCCCCCAGGAGCTCCTAGGGAGGGACAAAAAAAATTTGGACCCCCGCCCCCCTAGATTTTTTCTGCATACGCCCTTGCGTTCGCTTAAGTGCGATCTCTTTTGAAATGTCACAATTTTATATGCCCTTACGTTCTCATGATAAGTGCTTCAATACATTTTTTGTACATCATGATAAGTGCTTCATTACATTTTTTGTACATCATGATAAGTGCCTCATTAGTTCGTCAATATATTCTCCTTTGTAATGGAGAATTTTGTAAATGAGGGTAGATAAAATACTGCTCTAGTGGAGCCGGAAATCCAACTTCAAAAATAAAATGTATTTTTTACAAATCCTTTCTAAATATCTTAAACCCCGTGAGTCTCAATTGTGATTTAGAACTTGAATTTACATCAGCAACATTTTACCTTATGACAATTTTGTCGATAATTTTGAAGTTTAAAAATGTTTTTTATTTGTAGGATGAGAACATTGTTGAGCTGAGTTTTCAAACAGTTGGAAAGATAGTAACAGATCTGTACGAGATACAGTTCAAAATAATGGTAGATTCCTTCCAGGTTAGTTCTAGATATTGGTAGATTCCTTCCTTGTTAGTTTTTAATGTTAGTAGATTCCGTACATGTTGATTTCTAAATATTAGTAGATTCCTTCATTGTTAGTTTGAAATATTAGTAGATTCCTTACATGTTAATTAATTGATAAAGACGAAAATTGCCTCCTAGTTCAACCAGATTGAAAATTGTCTCCAGTACAACCAGATTGAAAATTGTCTCCTAGTACAACCAGATTGAATGTTGTCTCCTAGTACAACAAGATTGAAAATTGTCTCCTTGTACAACCAGATTGAAAATTGTCTCCAAGTACAACCAGATTGAATTTTGTCTCCTAGTACAACCAGATTGAAAATTGTCTCCTAGTACAACCAGATTGAAAATTGTCTCCTAGTACAACCAGATTGAATTTTGTCTACTGGTACAACCAGATTGAAAATTGTCTCCTAGTAAAACCAGATTGAAAATTGTCTCCTAGTACAACCAGATTGAATTTTGTCTCCTTGTACAACCACATTGAAAATTGTCTCCTAGTACAGCCAGATTAAATTTTGTCTCCTAGTACAACCAGATTGAAAATTGTCTCCTAGTACAACCAGATTGAAAATTGTCTCCTAGTACAACCAGATTGAAAATTGCCTCCTAGTTCAACCAGTTTGAAAATTGTCGCCTAGTACAACCAGATTAAAAATTGTCTCCTAGTACAATCAGATTGAAAATTGTCTCCTAGTTCAACCAGATTGAAAATTGTCTCTTAGTACAACCAGATTGAAAATTGTCTCCTAGTACAACCAGATTGAAAATTGTCTCCTAGTACAACCAGATTGAAAAACTGAGTTGTTAACTGACCTCTCGATTTAAAAATGTTTCAGGACAGTATAAAGTGCTTATCTGAGTTTGCCTGTAACTCCTTGTTCCCTGATACAAGCATGGAATCTATTCGTCTCATTAGGTAGAGTTCAGTTTATTTTTAATACTTATTAATGCATCATTTACATATTCTAAAATGTTGGCTCTTTTATAATTTTATTGGGCCAAAGAAAATTTGGGTAGAGTTGTACCATGTGTAATAAAAGACCTGTGTAAGACCTCTCGTACAAGTTGTAAAAGATTAAATTAAACCCCAAGGAATTGTGAATAATAATTGTGAAAAAAGTTGGGTATATTTGTTTTACCGAATTAATTACTAAAGTTATCTTTTTCATGTCACTTAAATATTATTGATTCATCTATCCATCTATCAATCTATCATCTATCTATTCTTATCGATCGATCCATCCATCCATTTATTAATCTATCTATGTATTTAATTAACTATTTGTCTACCTATCTATCATATCTAGACGTTGTGCTCAGTTTATATCTGGTCATAAAGAACTTTTCCTGGACAACACGGTTGATGATTCTCAGGTAAACATTTTACAACCAGGGGGTTCTCATGTAAACATTATACAACCAGGGGGTTCTCAGGTAAACATTTTACAACCAGGAGGTTCTCAGGTAAACATTATACAACCAGGGGGTTCTCAGGTAAACATTATATAACCAGGGGGTTCTCAGGTAAACATTATACAACCAGGGGGTTCTCAGGTAAACATTATACAACCAGGAGGTTCTCAGGTAAACATTATACAACCAGGGGGTTCTCAGGTAAACATTTAACAACCAGGAGGTTCTCAGGTAAACATTATACAACCAGGGGGTTCTCAGGTAAACATTTTACAACCAGGGGGTTCTCAGGTAAACATTTAACAACCAGGGGGTTCTCAGGTAAACATTATACAACCAGGGGATTCTCAGGTAAACATTATACAACCAGGGGATTCTCAGGTAAACATTATACAACCAGGGGGTTCTCAGGTAAACATTATACAACCAGGGGGTTCTCAGGTAAACATTAGACAACCAGTGTGTTCTCAGGTAAACATTAAATATAAAAGAATAAAGGGACAGTTGCCTGATATTGATCTTGTATTCTATTAAAGGGACAGTTGCCTGATATTGATCGTATTCTATTAAAGGGACAGTTGCCTGATATTGATCTTGTATTCTATTAAATTGACAGTTGCCTGATATTGATCTTGTATTTTATCAAAGGGACAGTTGCCTGTAACTTCTTGTATTCTATTAAAGGGACAGTTGTCTGATATTGATCTTGTATTCTATTAAAGGGACAGTTGCCTGATATTGATCGTATCTGGATAAAAGGCTGGTTTCCTATTCTTTTTGAACTCAGTTGTATTGTGAGCAGGTATTATTATTATTTTTATTATTATTTACAAAAAGTCAAATGTGCATTGCACGTATACTTATCAAAAATAACAGAGTACTAATCGAAAGCTTACACTAAATATTTCTTTTCTACGCAGATGTAAACTCGATGTTCGAACCCGTGGTCTAACCGTCCTATTCGATATCGTGAAAACATACGGAGAAGGATTTGAGACTCATTGGTGGAAGGATTTATTTCAGGCGAGTTCAAATTTTCCTTTCAATAAAAAATGAAGAGATCTTGCCGATCAGTTTGTTCTTACTTTTGGTTAAACATCGAATCCAATTCAATATTAGATATACTTATGCAAGTCTACAGTGCTAGATTGCAGATTTTTAATTTGATTGATCCTACATTGTTCTCGTTTGTGGAAGCGATATTCAGTGGTTTCGCTTCAAAATGTTATATCAATTAACGACCTAATTTCTGTTCTGCAATATATTAGTATAAGACCTACATATTGCAGAACGATACAGATAGGACAGGAGATTAGTTTACGGCCTAATCCCTACTGTAAAAACAAAATCTTTAATGGCTGGAGTTTTCAGTCTTGAGCTTAAGCAATAGTATTAATGCTGCAACTGGCGCAGGCATACACCATTGCACAATGCGTTGCTTACAGCCCGATTCTATGCATACCTATTCTGACATGATCAAAAGGGATCATTCTAAGCCAAGGTTATATAAGGATATATACTCTGAATGCGCTCCAATTTATGTAAATGGAGTACTTATTGCAATGAGACTCGAAATGCTCATATGACGTCACTGATACTTAACTAATAAGTATAACATTTAACAAATATTGAGTGTGCCAACAAGTTAAATGTGCTATTCTAATTCAAGTTTTCAATTTTTTACTTAAATTTAATGAGCAGCAAATTTTATTTTTTTTAAATACCCAGTGACGTCATATGAGGATTTGTGTCCCTTGCTATAAAGGTCGTCTTTACCTATATTGGAGCCCATTCAGAGTATTGAACCTTATTATACAACCTTTGTCGGTGGGTCACTCTTTGGTGTCCTTGGGGCATCAGACGACTCATAAGAAAATTATTCAGGTTTTGTTCCGAATATTTGATTCTATGAAGTTGAAGGATGGAGACGAAGATAAGAACCCTGAAAGGTTAGTCTAGGTTAGTTCTGGCCCCTTTTCGGTAAAGAAGATTACTTTTTTTAAATCAAGGCGATAGTGACATTATAATTTGTATTGTTATTCAGTTTGAATCTGAATCCAAAAACTATACCTATGTCTAACACTTAAAGAAACAGCCATAAACTACAGTGATAACCAGAAATTTGGTCTGTTTACACTTCACATTTGATGTGTCTCATTCTCAATGGCCTTTTTAAATTCATAACTTCTTTCTTTTTTAGAGTTTTCTCGTTATCACTATACTTACATTGCTGAAAAAATAACAATATTATTTTAAATGTTCTAGGGTGGCGGCTAAGACTGAATGGTTGAATACTACCTGTAACCATGCTCTGTACGCGCTGACCGACGTCTTCTCTCAATACTTTGCTGTTGTATCTCCTCTTCTACTCATCGACTTGTTTGCCCAGCTGCAGTGGTCAGTCAAATATTAAAAACTACGATGTCAGGCCCTTCACGCGCCTTTTCTGTTCGAAACTCTATCCTTTAATTGTTGCCTTGTCTTCGACCATTTTTCTTGAGAACATAATTTTTAATTTAGTTTTGTTTGGACAAAAAAATGAATAACTGAGATTTGTCTGATTTTCTTTGTGGAATGTGGATTAAAAATCATTCTGAACTTTCTTCTGGAAAAATGGAAGGATTTTGAAGTACTCAAAACTTATATCTTTCATTTTTGTATTTACATTATATATAAATATACATTTATTTATTTATTTATTTATCTAGAGTTCACTTTTAATTTCTCACATGTTCACTGATGTAATGTTTGATCTTTTATATGTACTGTACTGTACTTTACTGTTCTATACTGTATTGTACTGTATGCTATTCAGGTGTGTACAGCAGGATAACGAGCAGTTGGCCCGGTCCGGTATTTCCTGCTTAGAAAACCTGGTTCTCAGCAATGGAGACAAGTTTAATGCAGAGTCTTGGGACTCACTTTGTCAGGTCAGTTTACGAAGGCAACGGGAGTCTCTTTGGTATAAACCTACTGAGTCAGCGAGAGTCAAGTCTCTTTGATATAAATCTACTGAGTCAACGGGAGTCAAGTCTCTTTGATATAAATCTACTGAGTCAACGTGAGTCAAGTCTCTTTGATATAGATCTACTGAGTCAACGGAAGTCGAAGCTAGTTAAATCTATTAATACAATAATTCAATTTTTAGTTTATACGTATAAATTAAAGTCATTGTTAGTGTTTGTTTTAGTTTCCATTTCTACGATAAAAGTCTGTTTATATATTAAGCCGATTTTAAGTTTAAGGGCGTAAGTTAGTTTGACTTACCAATTTACTGAACCAACTTTCAGTCTGTTAGCAGAGTAAGGGAAATGTATAAAGCTCTATTTTCAGTTAATTTGATCAAAATGCCAAATTCACTTTAACGTTTATGAAAACAAATCCTTTTTTAAATTTTTTATTTATTATTTTCTAACTGATGGATTTTTAGTGCCTACACGACCTGTTCTGTTCCACTACCCCCTCCCAGCTTATGACCTGGGCGCCCTTGAAAGGGGGGCAACCCCTCTCACGGCCCCCCTCCGTAGATCCTACACTTCTAGCAGATATAGACGGAGATATAGGTAAAAAATAAACTTTTCAATTCATTCAAATAATTTCAAAACAAAATGTCTGTTTAAATCAATATTTCATTTAGGTTTTGTAATAATTCCAGAAGAAATTCTGCGTCGAAGCATGTCTTCTTTATAAATATAATTCTAGTAAAAACATTTTCTTTGTTATTTTATTATTTTTTATTTGATTTATGAATTTGTTAGGATACCCACCACCTCGACATCACTCGAACCGCGCGAGTGTTGCGAGTATTATTAGTGATGTGACCGACAACAGGCAGCTATTCAGGTATACAGACATATTCATATTCATTCATACATTCATTTATCGATTCATTCTTTTATTCATTTATTCATTCATCCTGTTATTCATTTATTCATTCCTCATTTAAATCATGTATTTAATTGAATTTTCATTTGCCTTAAGTGGACTGTAAGCGTAATTTCAAGTGACCCTCCATGCAAAGATGATAATGCTCGATTCACAACCGTACTTTTTAAACCTTTATCGGAACAATAATTTGGAAGATATTTTCGTTTTTCTATGTTTAAAGGTGTTTAATTCTGATAATTTCAATATTTTTTCATGCAGAAAAATACTAAGTCACTTTTGTAGTAAAACCACAATTTAAATAATCAGCCTTGAAAATTATAAACATTGGTATCTAATTCATGCTTGAGGTTCATTTGAAATTGCGTTTTAATCCATAAATCATTTCTAAATAATTGCTTTGATGCTTCTTTTACATTATTATCTAATAAGGAATTTTAATAATAAATTACTTCCAATCAATTATATCTCTTTCGTTCCAAAATTTCGATCGCATGGCAAGGATTTAAATAATTATTGTCAACATGTTTCTAGAACATACAACCGATTTATTAGATATATTTTGAATTCATTAAACTGAAAAATGAATATCTCTGTTATCAGTTTACTCTCCGTGAAATGTGTTGTCCAGTTAGAACTTATTCAATGCATTGATAATGTCGTCTTCTACCCAGCTACCTCCAAAAAGTAAGTTTTTTTTAGATTTTCCTAAGTTTCCGATCTTTGTAATTATAGTTTTTTTTCATGATATATTCATCTTTTTCTCAAATCTTTTTTTCTCAATCTAACCATTTATTTCTAAGAAAGATAAACGCTGAATACAGTTTTAGCTAAGAATTATAATTTATAATCTATATCCATCTATCTCTCTGCTTATAGGCAAGATACTGCGTATCTATCTTAAGCTCAGAACAGACTAAGTAACAAACAATGCATCTATCATTCTTTTCTATCAAGGGAAGATGCTTTAGCTTTAGCTCAGAACTAACTAAATAACTACCCATCTATCTTTTCTATCAAGGGAAGATGCCGCGTATATAACTTCAGCTCAGAACTAACTAAATAACTAACTGTCTATCTATCTATCTATCTAGGGGAAATGTTGCGTATCCAGCTTTAGCTCAGAACTAACTAAATATCTAACTATCTATCAATCCAGGGAAAATGCCGCGTATTTAGCTGCAGATCAAAACTAACTAAATAACTAACTTTCTATCTATCTATCTAGGGAAGATGCCGCTTATCTAGCTTTAGCTCAAAACTAACTAAATAACTAACTATCTATCTATCTAGGGAAGATGCCGCATATCTAGCTGTAGCTCAAAACTAACCAAATAACTAACTATCTATCCATCTATCTAGGAAAGATGCCGCGTATCTATAGCTTTAGCTCAAAACTAACTAAATAACTATCTATCCATCTATCTAGGGAAGATGCCGCGTATCTATAGCTTTAGCTCAAAAATAACTAAATAACTAACTATCTATCCATCTATCTAGGGAGGATGCCGCGTATTTAGCTGTAGCTCAAAACTAACTAAATAGCTAACTATCTATCCATCTATCTAGGAAAGATGCCGCATATTTAGCTGTAGCTCAAAACTAACTAAATGACTAACTATCTATCCATCTATCTAGGGAAGATGCCGCGTATATATAGCTTTAGCTCAAAAATAACTAAATAACTAACTATGTAACCATCTATCTAGGGAAGATGCCGCCTAACTGTAGCTCAAAACTAACTTTCTATCCATCTATCTAGGGAAGATGCCGTATATATAGCTTTAGCTCAAAAATAACTAAATAACTAACTATGTAACCATCTATCTAGGGAAGATGCCGCGTATATATAGCTTTAGCTCAAAACTAACTAAATAACTAACTATCTATCCATCTATCTAGGGAATATGCCGCATATCTAGCTGTAGCTCAAAACTAACTAAATAACTAAATATCTATCTATCCATCTATCTAGGAAAGATGCCGCATATCTAACTTTAGCTCAGAACTAACTAAATAACTAACTATCTATCCATCTATCTAGGGAAGATGCCGCGTATCTATAGCTTTAGCTCAAAATTAACTAAATAACTATCTATCCATCTATCTAGGGAAGATGCCGCGTATCAATAGCTTTAGCTCAAAAATAACTAAATAACTAACGTATCTATCCATCTATCTAGGGAGGATGCCGCGTATGTAGCTGTTGCTCAAAACTAACTAAATAACTAACTATCTATCTATCTAGGGAAGATGCCGCATATCTAGCTGTAGCTCAGAACTCGAAGAGCTCCTTCCTGCCTCCACCCTCTGACAGGGGAATGTATAGGTAAATAATACATATTGTAACATATAATTTAAATAGTTATTCAGAAGTTCATCTTCGTTTGTAATCATCCATGAAAGATGAAGAGAATTTATATATTAATTCATTGTAACTTGAGCGGAAGGAAGATAAAGATCTGAAATCTGAGATTGAAAGATTGACAGTGATGATTATTATTACTGTGACTTGATGTTTTCATTTATTATGTTATTTTTGTTAATTACTTTACTTTGATAATTTAGATTCCTTTCCCTGCAGCACCTCTACACACTTTTGGACTGCTTAATTCAAGCACATAGGTAAAGTATTCAATGCATACAATAAATCTGATAAAATATAGATTTTTTTCCACAGCATTTATGTATGCCTTAAAAAAAATTATGTAGAAGTAGAGATTTTTTGGTAACGCCTAAGTCAAGTTAAAGTCAAGACAAGACAAGAAGTTCAATGATGATAGTTTCAATGATTTGAGCGATATAATAAAAAATTCTTTAATAATATAATTATAATAATGTCAAAATACAGAAGAAAAAAAAACAATAAACTTCTATTTTAAAATAATTGGATGCTTCTGAGTCAGAATTTAATGAATTTGAGCCGCGTCTCTCTCAAATCCGCCAAAAACCGGTTTTAATTGAGCGCTGGGTTAAATCTTGGAACATTGAATACAACCGTATTTGAGCCGGGTCTCAAATTTAAGTCGCGGCTCAAATTCTGCCTCTGTCATATAAATTAAATGAATAATAATATAAAGTTAATCACTGTTCAGGTTTGCCCGGGAGTTTAATATGAACAACGAACAACGGAACCTGCTCTGGAAATCTAATTTTATCGGGAATGCCAAACCAAATCTTTTGAAGCAAGAGACTCAAGCTTTAGCCTGCTCTCTCCGGATTATGTTCAGGTTCTTCATAAAGATATATTATATTCATGTCATTAACCGTAAAGATATATTATATTCATGTCACTAACCGTCCCTCGTAAAATTCTGATTTAGTTGTGCGGAAAACCGTTATGAATCGTAAACCCACCTTACCTTTGAGAATTAGTAAAATCATTTCAAGAATGTCTATGTGGTCACAGGGCGTCACTAAAATTCTGAATTGATTTGATTTGATTTGATTCGATTTGATCTGATCTGATCTGATCTGATCTGATCTGATCTGATCTGATCTGATCTGATCTGATCTGATCTGAACTGATCTGATCTGATCTGATCTGATCTGAACTGAACTGATCTGAACTGATCTGAACTGATCTGAACTGAACTGAACTGATCTGATCTGATCTGATCTGATCTGATCTGATCTGATCTGATCTGATCTGATCTGACCTCCTTCTTCGAATTATGAAAGTATAAAATGAAACCCTTCCGGTTTATCACAATCCTCACTCTTGAGTGTGCAATGAAAGTATATAATGGATAACTTACGCTAATTATTTCTTTTGTCTAGTTTTAGAAAAAAAGAAATAATGTTTAAGATGGACAAAAGGCTTAAGCGTAATTTTAAGTGGCCCTCCATGCAAATGAAATGCTCGATTCACAACGGTACTAACGAGGAAAATATTGTCTTTTTCTAGGTTTAAAAATACTGTTATTTATAAAGATTATACCTGGATCCAGGCCGGTCAGATTACTTGTCTGAAGTCAGGTTGATAATATTGATATTTATTAGATTATACCTGGATCCAGGCCGGTCAGATTGCTGGTCTGAAGTAGAGAGTAGGTTGATAATATTGATATTTATTAGATTATACCTGGATCCTGGCCGGTCAGATTGCTGGTCTGAAGTAGAGAACAGGTTGATACCACTAGCGAAAGAGGTAAAACCACCCCCAACCTAAAGTTTTTACTGAGTTTTTGATGTGAATGTACTGCAGATCATTGCAGTGTACTGCAATGATCTGCAGTACACCGACCGAAAATAAAGGTTATTCCTCACTTAGTGACCTATTAACTAGTGAACGTTTAGTGGAGAAAATAAAAGAAATTCCTCACAATATTTATCTGATTTGGTTTAATTACATTATCTATGTTTAGACCGTATTTATAAAACTTACTTTTTACTGTTTTTATTTTCCATATCCTGTAAACCTAGTATCGTATATTTGTTTTATTCTGTATCATTTATGTCTTTAGCATTGATTGTATTTCATGTTGTATTCTGTATTGATTACACTTCTTGTATCATTCGTGTTGGTTATACTCCCTTTATCCTGTATAGATTGTATCCGTATTTCCTATATTTCCTGTATCGTGTATTGGTTATACACCCTGTATCCCTATTTCCTGTATCCTGTATCTTGTATTGGTTATACTCCTTACTCCCTGTATCCTGTATAGATTGTATCTATATTTCCTGTATCCTTATCTGTATTGGTTATACTCCCTGTATTTTGTATCCTGTATCTGTATTTTCTTTATTCTGTATCCTGTATGCTGCTTTTTTATCTTTATTTCCTGTGTCCTGTATCTGTCTATCCAGGTTATCCAGTATTATCTGAGTCTAAGTTCTGATTCCCATGCTGAAGCCTGGACTGGAGTCCTTCTTCTTCTCTTCTCCCAGCTATCCAGGTAGATAATATAAATCTTCTCTTCCCCCAGCTATCCAGGTAGATACTATTCTTCTCTTCTGCTAGCTATCCAGATAGATGATATTCTTCTCCCTTACTCCCAGCTATCCAGGTAGATAATATTCTTCTCCATTACTCCCAGCTATCCAGGTAGATAATATTCTTCTCTTCTCCCAGTTATCCAGGTAGATAATATTCTTCTCTTCTCCCAGCTATCCAGGTAGATAATATTCTTCTCCCTTACTCCCAGCTATCCAGGTAGATAATATTCTTCTCCCTTACTCCCAGCTATCCAGGTAGATAATATTAAACACGTACAATGTAAATTGAGCATGGTTCAATTAGAACAATCACGGATGACTTTTTACTGTCATATGTTAACACAATAATAATATATAAACGTAATTTTCAGATCTGATCATAATTCAAAATATGTGAAAGGACAATTGTAAGGACATTTTCATCATTATAAGATGTTTTTGCTAGCAATAAAAGAATTGTCTTCTTGTCACAAACTCTGATTTTCTAATTCATATAACTTTGCAATCCGATGTTGTAGACTCTTTATATTTCTAAATCTGAGTTCTGTTATTATCAAAAGGCTTGAAATATCAATCACAGAATACTCCAGTATTCAATATTGTCTGCAGTTCTTTATATTCCTATCCAGTGGATCCGTAATTCGACTTCATGGATCTGAATCCACCAAAATAAACCCCATGCAATAAAACTTAAACTCTATTTCTATTTCTATTGATAATGTCTCCGCATCATATTGAATTTATTAAGCGCTGATTATATAATTACTAAAGTTCGAGTCCAATGCTTTTTTCTCCAGGTTGGATGGAACGAGGTTAAAGGAGTTTATCCCCAGCTTGTATCCTTTATTATGTGAACTCTGGTTAATAGATCTTAGACCAGAGGTAATTAGAACACTGAACACTGAACACTGAACACTGAACACTGAACACTAAACCACTGAATACTGAACACTGAACACAGAACACAGAACACTGAATACTGAACACTCAACACAGAACTTTGAACACTGAACACAGAACACTGAACACTGAACACTGAACACTGAAAACTGAACACTGAACACTGAACACAGAACACTGAACACTGAACACTAAACCACTGAAAACTGAACACTGAACACTGAACACTGAACACTGAACACTGAACTCTGAACACTAAACGCTGAACGCTGAACACTGAACACTGAACATTAAACATTGATTAATGAACAATTAACAATGAATACCAAATACCAAACACTAATCACTAATCACCAAACACTGAAAACTGAACACTGAACACTGAACATTTAACTCTGAACACTAAACGCTGAACGCTGAACACTGAACAGTCACTGAACATTAAACATTGATTAATGAACAATTAACAATGAATACCAAATACCGAACACTAATCACTAATCACCAAACACTGAAAACTGAACACTCCAGGGTAACAAACTGAACAAAACGAAACGAAGAATTCTGAACTAATCCAGTATTAACTAAAAATATTACAGGTTTGCAGTGTCCTGCGTTCCTTATTTCTACGTATAGGAGAAGTATATTCTATCACTAAACAAGAGAATGGTGTACTGGAATAGACATTAGACAACCGTCTTTGTCTAATATTCAATGAGACATCAGACAACCGTCCTTGTCTAATATTCAACGAGACATTAGACATCCGTCCTTGTCTTCTTAATTAGACAGGAACTGTGAGACAAGAGACACCAGGAAATATAGACGTTCAGATAGTATTCCAGAGATACAAGACCTAAAAAAACCTACACTTTGTACCAGATTAATGTGAGCTTTTCTATAAGTTATAATTACACATTTGATGCAGAGTAAATTTCCTATTTCAACAAAAATTAAATCAATAATCATTTTTTCCGTCCAAATTTTTTTTAGCGCCTATATCACCTTCCCTTCGTATTATGCATTTTATGGGAATTGTCAATCATCATTTTTTGGGGAAACGTTCGTAGTTTGGATAAAATGGTAGATGTAGCATCCAAAAATTGATTAATTGTTAAATAAATTATTATTAATTATCATCGGAAATCTGTCGAAACTTATTTTATCGACACTATTATCATTCCAGCACTGTGTGATATTGTGTGATTATTTATATATAAAATATTAATTTTTATTAATTTTAGAATTTTAGTTATTGTAAACACCTAGTTGTACCAGTTAAATATATATACTTATCTATTATTTCATTACTTCTGATTGGCCGGGATATTCCTCTTGTATCGTAAATAGTGTTGTTAACAGTTTTGGATCGGGTTTTTTAAAAGATAATTGCATTATGGTGCAGTACATTCAAGTTGAGTTGTTTGTTTATTTTTTTAGTTCTACTTTTATTAAAATAAACAAACAACTGAACTTGAATGTACTGCAGTATACAATCCTGTGTTTACAATCCATATTAAGTGTCAATCTAATTATCAATACTAATATTCAAATATCTACATTAAACCACTCCTTAGAAATACGATCGCTCTATAACTCGTACGCCCCTGTTAGGGAGGTCGGTTGTGTGAGGGAGGGAGTCCAGACTCCAGAGTTCCTCAAATAGTAATCACCGCCACCCAAATCTGTTTTGCGGCAAGCGCGCTCCTCAATTGGTAATCTCCACCACCTCAATTAGTAATCACCGTAAAATTTTGTTTTCTGTGATTTGAATTTAATGCACTTTTAATACAATTTGGTCAACAAAAACTGAGAATCAAGGCACAGTTCATTTTAGCCGAATCTTAGATCCAATTCGCCACTTTAATGACTGCATTTCATGATTGGCGTTAAGATACTAAAAGTTAGGGCTGCCTGTTTACAAAAAATTATCTCATCCCACCCAAAGTGATATCCATCTCCATTTAAAAGATATTTTCAAAAAACCTTTACAGTGTTTAGATTTTTGTATTCGCCTACTCGAGTTCAACATCTACAACAAAACTAATTATATGCATAGAAAGAACATAAAATTTTAAAAAATTAGTCTCATCACACTCACTACTGAAAATGAAGTATTTAGTCCACTAATAATGGGTTTAAGTTTCCTCTCTATTTAAGGAGTTTAAAACAACATTCAGAGGAAAATGCCTTAAACATTCTTAAAGCGAAACTTGAAACTAAAAAACGCAATAAATTTCTAGCACTTAGTGTGGCATATTTATTGATTTATTTTCGAAACTAAGGAGCAATAAAGAAAGCTTTAACAATATTTTACACCATAGGGGCATTAAAAGAGGTCAATATGGTCTTATTTCTAAGAAATAAACGATTTAATGTTATGCTTTTTTGGGCTGATTACTATTTGAGGTGGTGGAGATTACCAATTGAGGAGCGCGCTTGCCGCAAAACAGATTTGGGTGGCGGTGATTACTATTTGAGGAACTCTGGACTCCCTCCCTCGTTGTGTACATCTGAGCTAAGCTTCACTCACCTCTTCGTTTTATTACTCTATGTTATAGACACATCTTTACAGTCTTTTACCGTTTTCATAAAATAAACTCTAGCTCCTCTAGCAGACATAATAATATTATGGGTTTTGAAATTAGGTATTGCAATGCTAATTCATAACAATTAGACGATATCGAATTCGTCACTGAATTCCCATGTTTTTTGGGACACCCTGTAATTACGCCGCAAACAATCGGTCATTTTCTTCATCAAACTTGACCCACTGTGATGTGAGTAATGTTCTGATTACTCCGCAAGCTATCGGTCATTTTCTTCTTCAAACTTGACCCCCTGTGATGTGAGTAATGTTCTGATTACGCCGTAAAATATCTTTTATTTTCTTCTTTAAACTTGACCCACTGTGATGTCAGTAATGTTCTGATTACGCCGTAAACTATCGGCCATTTTCTTCTTCAAACTTGACCCACTGTGATGTGAGTAATGTTCTGATTACGCCGCAAACTATCTGTCCTTTTCTTCTTCAAACTTGACCCACTGTGATGTGAGTAATGTTCTGATTACGCCGCCAAACTATCGGTCATTTTCTTCTGCGCATTTTCTTTATGTTTAATTTGCAACCAAACAACACAATCTCTATAGTAGTGTCGTAAACTACAAACTGATAAGATATTTTGCGGAGAAAGGTTAGAGTAGATATTAACAATTTAACAGAAAACTGAGATTTATCAATTAATTGTCCCGATATCGAGATAATTGAGAATCTGAATATACAGGGTTACCCACAAAGTATAAGACTTCAGAGACAATTTTACGGAATTTGTTTAGTCCGTTTTCTTGCATTCAGGGTTCCTTGTATAGGCCAAAACTGGCTTATTTCTGTGCTTAATCATTTAGGAAACCATTAAAATACTCAATTAAATTCATAAAACAAATCGTCGAAATTTTAGAGTTTTCGGTCGTCTTTACAGTCTCATATGTTGTGGGTAACCCTGTATTCAAACTATACTGCGAAAGGGACTGCGGATGTAATCTGAATGTTTAGAGTGACATGTCCGAAGCACAACGGTACCCTTTAAATCTTTGTCTATTATATACAGACGAATGAGATGGATTTATTTTTCTAGCTCCAAATTGATTATTTTCGAAGACTGGCATGGACAAGGAAGTTAATTGAGAGAGAAAAACGAGTGTATGGAGTGTTACTTCAATTACTTCACTTACTTCACTTACTTCACTTACTTCACTTACTAAATCAGTTCTTTTTCAACTTATTTTCTAAAAAGCTTGTTTAACTATTGAAAAGGACAAAATTAAGACCGTTTTTTTCAATTAGGATAGTACTGTTTATCTATACTTAAATATATTTGACGTCTTTGAAAGTCTGATTTGATTTGATTTGATTTGATTTGATTTAATTTGATTTTATTTGATTTGATTTGATTTGATTTGATTTGATTTGATTTGATTTGATTTGATTTGATTTGATTTGATTTGATTTGATTTGATTTGTTTTGATTTGTTTTGATTTGATTTGATTTGTTTTGATTTGATTTGATTTGATTTGACTTTATTTGATTCGATTTGATTTGATTTGATTCGATTTGATTTGATTTGATTTGATTTGATTTGATTTGATTTGATTTGATTTAAGATTTAATTTAAGTTTTGATTTAAGATTTGATTTAAGATTTGATTTGATTCCATTTGATTTGATTTGATTTGATTTGATTTGATTTGATTTGATTTGATTTGATTTGATTTGATTTGATTTGATTTGATTTGATTTGATTTGATTTGAATATTTTATTTTATTTTATTTTATTTTATTTTATTTTATTTGATTTGATTTGATTTGATTTGATTTGATTTGATTTGATTTGATTGATTTAAATTATTTAAAGATAAAGGATGTTCCACGAAACATGACAGTTGGTGAACTGTTTTGAATTAGATTTTATAGACTTTTTCCAGTTTATTTCGTTAAAAAAATATTTTACTCAAATATATTTTACTTTGAAATTAATCTAGTTACAATATGACTGCCATATTAAATTTTTCTACAAGTCTAATAAGTTTCAAACAACAAAACAAATTATGAAAGAATACAAGGACGTATATAGAAAAAAATCTGGGGGGGGGGGCAAATATACGCGAAAAAAAACAGTCCAATTACCTCTCAAGTACTACTTTATCTCTCCTCCAACAAAACTAGCAGAAAAAAAAACAGTGAACTAATTTTCTTATGTTCTTCACTCTTCAACATCAGATTTGAAAAGTGTGATAGCTCTGAGTTCTAGAGGGGGCACTGCCACCCCCCTCTGTTTACGCTCTTGGAAGAATACATTTAAAACTATTCAACAACTGTCATTTCGGGGGACTCCCTGTATCTTTAGGATAAAGAAATCAGCTCATCTCCCTTATTATAAGTTTTAACCATTTCAAAACAATGTTAGACATTAAAAGAAATCTTAAAACATTAAAAATTATTAACAAACATCATCAAATGGTCTAAAATGTATTTTTACAGCGGAAAACGCGCAAATGATATTTCCTCTCTAATATCGTCTTCCTTCAAATTATCCAACTAGAAATATTTATTATAGACATGATTCGAAATGGTTTAAACACTAGAGGGGAGATGAACTGATGTACGACACCTAGAGAGGAAATAATTTAGGAAATTCTCCAGTGTATTGTACTGGAAATCCCCTATTATAATTCTGGAAATCCCCAATTATACTTCTGGAAATCTTCAGTGAAATCCTTAATTTGTTTCCCTGTTTAAGGATGAATTCTATTTGGGATAGAGTGTGGGGTGGACCCTGTTTGTCTAATCTAGATTGTACAGACTATATTTCAATCTGTTTTATCAGTACTCCAGGAATAGGTAATATTATAATTAAATTGTACAGTACTGCATTATTGGTGTACAGTTCTGCTGGAGTAGGTAAACGATATCTATATTTTAGTACAGTACTACAAGATTGATGTACAGTACTGCTGGATTAAGTAAACTAGACTTTTGTTCAAAACTGCTGGATTTCGTAAACTATCTAGAATTATGGACAAAAATCAGACCTACATACTGTTTAGTTGGAGTATGCAGAATGGAGACCATATATATACTGTTTAGTTGGAGTATGTAGAATGGAGACCTATATATATATACTGTTTAGTTGGAGTATGTAGAATGGAGACCATATGTATACTGTTTAGTTGGAGTATGTATAATGGAGACCTATATATATATTTATACTGTTTAGTTGAAGTATGTAGGATGGAGACCTATATATATATACTGTTTAGTTGGAGTATGTAGAATGGAGACCTATATATACTGTTTAGTTGGAGTATGTAGAAAGAAGACTTATATATACTCTTTAGTTGGAGTATGTAGAATGAAGACCTATATATACTGTTTATTTGGAGTATGAAGAATGAAGACCTATATACTGTTTAGTTGGAGCATTAAGAATGGAAACCTATATGTACATTGTTTAGTTGGAGTACGTAGAATGGAGACCTACATACACTGTTTATTTGGAGTATGTAGAATGGAGACCTATATACTGTTTAATTTGAGTGTAAAATGGAGACCTATATATAAACTTTTTAGTTGGAGACTTATAGAATGGAGACCTATATATACTGTTTAGTTGGAGATATATAGAAAGAAGACCTATATTTACTGTTTAGTTGGAGTATGTAGAATGAAGACCTATATATACTGTTTAGTTGGAGATATATAGAATGGAGACCTATATATAATGTTTAATTGGAGTATGTAGAATGGAGATCTATATTTACTGTTTAGTTGGAGTATGTAGAATGGAGACCTATGTGTTGTTCCTCCTGATGGTTCTACCGGTGATCTTGGTGTTCCTATTCATCAGCTGCATCTATTGTCCTTCCTGCTGCTTCTATTCAATCTGCTCAGATGCTCTTGGTAATCCTTTCTCAATCCTTTCTTAATCCTTTCTTAATCCTTTCTCAATCCTTTCTCAATCCTTTCTCAATCCTTTCTCAATCCTTTCTTAATCCTTTCTCAAGCCTTTCTTAATCCTGTCTCAATCCTTTCTCAATCCTTTCTTAATCCTTTCTTAATCCTTTCTTAATCCTTTCTTTATCCTTTCTTAGTCCTTTCTTTATCCAATTAATTCTTTCTCAATCCTTTCTTAATTCTTTCTTAATCTGCTTTTAATCATATCTTAATCCTTTATTTTGCCAAATAAAATAATTTTTTAGATTCCGTATTTTACTGCTGCAGAAACAAGGGTTATTTAAGTATCCCTGAGACCACCCCTCAGCTCTCTAATCCCTCACAGTACACGCAGACCATGAGCAGATCCTTTACATTACCATAGTGCCAGGATTGCTTTCCCTCCCTCGCACGTTCCTGCACCCTGCTGCAATCCCTACCTCGTAAAATGAGGACTCGACTCGATTCACCGCATGGCAATTATTAGCAACATGCAGAACAAATATTTTATAATAAATTTGTATTATCATTTATAATTTTTTAATGTTTCAAATGTATAGTTTTAACAGATTTATAAATAGATAAATATGTCATATTCTAAACAACTTTTATTTAAAAATTTTAAAATTTGGAGTGGAAATAAACTATATTTATAATAAATTAATAGATTTTAAAGTTAAAAATTAAGGGAAGACTCGGCAATGTAAAATTCCCTCCCATATATGTAATTTTTCGACTTATGAACAAATTTTATGCAAGTTTTTTCAAATTTTAAACCAGATATAAAATTTTAATTTACATAGAGGTCAACCCTTTTCTGGTTTTAGAAACTGTAAAATCTATTCAGCTATGATTCACATATTTTTGAGTTCAAAAATCAAATCTAATTCATGTTTTCTGTGTCGTAAATCCGCAACTTCTTGCATCCCTAGGGTTGCGATCTAACATTGCGAACCTGGGTTCAGGGTTGAAATGTAAATATCAGGGATTTAATTGTGTCACAATTTTGTTCAAAAGTTGGATAAAGTTATTTGGTGTGAACAGGCGCGTATACAGGATTTCATCCAGGGGGGGGGGAAATTAAAAAGGCGAGAAGGTGCCTGCTCTCTCCCGCTTCTAATTTTTCCAGACGGGGGACGTCCCCAAAATTTTCCAGGGGCTCCCCCTTTCCCCCCATAAGCCGCCTCTGGTGTCCCCAATAATAAAAGAAGGTTGTCTTCCCTCTCTCGCACGTAACTGTGCAGTGCTACCGTCCCTCCCTGCCAATTAAACTATAGGACGAATTCGAACGTGTTCGCACTATGTGTTGGTGTTATACATGCTTTTAATAATACTATTGTTATTATTATATTCAATGTAAAATGTATTTGAGGTTTTAAATGTTTATTGTATAATAATAATAATAATAGATTTAAAAATAAGAATAAAGTTGTCATAAGGTTATTTGATATTGTTTACGTATAGAACATTTATGTTGTTAGAATTTACCAAATTAAACCTAAGTTAATATTTTAGATAATCCAATAAACATGAATTATACACCAGTGTGAGAAACAGACTTATTTAACTTGATAAGATAAAGTATCTTTTTTTAAGAAAATTGCTAAACCATTCTAGGTGGAAACCACCTAGTACCAACTACTGGTGGCCAAGGCGCTCGGTCCATATATTAATAATTTGTAACAATTGTTAACAATTTACAGGCTCCCGAGACAGAAGTCCAAAGTCTCTCTGTCATGTTATTCAACGGCATGTATTGTTATTAAACTATATGGCTCGGCTCCTTTATGTTATGTTTTGTTTTTTGTTAGAATTTTCAGAACTTTTCACAATTTTTCTTATTTGTAATTATTATACAATGCAATGCATTTGAATTTTGGTTTTTATTAAGTATTAATTATTTAAACAAATAATTTTAAGCCAATCTCCAATTGTTATCGGAATATAGATTTAAAAATTTGTCACACTCGAAAAATAACCGGCCCCTCCTTGATAAGTTTTGTTTTTGAAAATTAATATTGAGATGCACCCCCCCCCNTACCACCCACCTCATATTTCCTAAACCCCTCATTCTCAGAAACATTACAAATTACAGGGCTTACTATATCTTCACACAAGAATAAAAGTATTTAATCCTTTTTATTTAAAAAAAAAAACTATAGAATTAAGTACGTAATTGTAATATTATATAATAAATAAATATATTTACCCTTTTCTGTTCAACAAATCTCAATACGCAATTGCAGTACGCAAATGTTCAGTTAATTTTAAAAATGGCAGCATTAACGTTATTGATAGTCTTCTGCAATATTTTAATTATTTCCTCAAATATTGTTACAAATAATACCAGGTATACTTGATAAATGTTGATACTTTTTTATTTAAATTATTTTCTCTCTTACTTTTTAATACTATTTCAGTGTTTTTTGTTTTGTTTATTAGATTGTTACACCATAAATTCTATTTTGACTTGGAATTCAAATTTTCAGCCACAGTTAGGGAATAATTATCTTTTATTAAACAATTTATTTTGTGACTTTTTATGAAATTATACGATGCATATTTAATAATTAGCTTTATGGATCTTTCATCTCTTTCTTCGTCCGTCTAATTTTGGCGCTGTTTTTTGAAAGAATGACATAACTTTATCTTATTTTATAGTTCATTAAGTGGGTCTGTCCTAGTATACGATTTTTGGACCCCCCCATTTTCAAAAAGTCAATTAACACCATGAAAAATGCATCAAACGCACTAAATTATTGGGTTTTTACAAACCTTATATAGTTTAATAATAATTTACTTGCTCTATAACTAACTTTAACTCCATTACAGCTAGCTAACGAGGGAAGGAAGACCAACCATAACAATTTCTCGTCCGAGCCACATTCTCCTCATTTTCTCGTCCAAGCCACCTCGAAATCCTCGTCCTTTCAATATTATTTTTTTTAAAGTGTCTAATCCTACAAGATAAAACTATTTTTTAATTAATAATCAGGCCACGTTAGGGCATACATGAAATATCAAATTTTTGTAAATAAAAAAAATTTCAATTGAATCAAAGATTTAAAGTTTAATGTCTTTAAAAATGTTCAATCTTTTTTACGCACATTTTCAGATATTCCTAATGTAGAATGCCGCAAATAATTCCAAGTTTATAGAACTTCAATCTTTTTTGTTAACTATAGTGAAAACCATAGAATTTTTCTGGGTGGTTCCACGGGGAAAATTATAGGCAGAGATATGCCGAATATTTTGCTATTTATTTTATATCACGAAGGTTAGCCAATACGGAGGCAGAAGAGATTTAAGTTTTACCTAAATAAAGTTTGACATCATTCTCATGGGTTTGAAGATTCTAACATGATATAACCATTGCAATACTTTAGTCCATCCATATTTTATGCCCTTACGTGGCCAGATTTTTAAAAATCAAATTTATCTTCAAGAATTAGAAACTTTTTAACACAAAATAATCGAAGGACGAGGATTCTGAGGTGGCCCGGACGAGAAAATGAGGAGAATGTGGCTCGAACGGGAAATTGTTGTGGTTGGCCTTCCTCCCCTCAGCTAACTGAATCATTAATCACAGCATCATTAAAAAATTCAATTTTCACTATTAAAAGACATTTATTTGTAAATTTCAATAGTATATACTCCATCTTCACATTCACCAACTCATTTATGCTTCAATTTTTTAGGATTTGCTTACACAAACATTTTAATGATTTTCTTAGTAGAGAGCTCAGACAGCCCTGTAGGGTGTAAGTAAGACCATGGGTGCAAGGTCTACCCACCGTCATAGTACGTCTTTTTTAATGAAGAATTCTCTTCAGAAGACTAAAAGTTCTCTCTCCTTTAATCGACGTTATTGGAAACGTAAGCACTTGCTGCACTAGCTTCCTGGTTTCAGGGAACATTTTTTATTAAAAGGAAATTTATAAAAACCCGAGGGGGGGACAAGAGGACTACTGCCCCTACCCCCTGTATACGTGCCTGGGTGTGAATTATTTATAAAAAGTACAACTTACTTATTTTCAGGTTAAATTCTCCGACCTCTACCTCAGCTGTGGATGGGTGGGATAAACTCAAAGATAATGTAAGAATTATAATTACAATATTATATCTTTTTTATTATATAGTGTTTATCTTTTTACAACATATATATATATTTTGTTTTTCTGTCTTTTTGTTTATCTGTCTGTTTGTATCCAATAAAAGTTAAAACGGCTGAACAGATTGGGCCTACATTTTGTGTGGGACCTCACATGACCCCAGAGCTGAAAACTTTAGAATGAGATATCCTTAATAACGATCGCTTAATCTGAGTATCAAATGTACACACTTTTGATTTTCTTCTTAATCTTCGTTTTTTGGATATCCCTACTGTATAAAAGTTACGTTTGATAACAATTAAATACACAATGCTATATCGATTGAACTAATATCCGATTGAGTTAAAGTCAGCTGTTCACAAGCCGGCTTTTAGAGCATTTAAACAAATATAAATTTAATCATGTTAATATGAACTTCTTAAACAACATATTTTATCACATTTTAGGACTATTGTCATTTTGAACGTTAGTCTTAATAAACATTAATCCAAATTTACTTTCGTTCAATCGATGTTTAGTTTAATTGATATGACACCAGAAATAAAAACAGGTTTTTTAAAAGTTAAAGAGTACATCTTAACATGACACGCTGATTGGTTAAATTTCAAACTTCTTTCTTGGATATCGAATGCGTATTAAAATAATCTCGGGTTTAGTAAAACCAGGAGTTTAAGCATTAATCTTGATATCCATAATTCTAAAGTGTTCAGCTCAGGTAATGTTTATGGATGCTCGGAATTTCAAAAAGTTATCTTTTACAATTATGTGAAATTCTCAAAAAAGATTTATAAATCTACGAACGTCATGTTTTATATTGTACAAAGAGAAGATGTTCACAGATAGAGCCACAACTAAAAGTGAAAATAGAAGGAAGATAAGCGAAGCGCCCTAAAATCCTAGTTTTACATATCCTAATAAAGTTGATATGAAAAAGAAGAATTAACTCTTTTTATCGCAATACGATTGTCAATTTAATTTCAAGTAAATCCCATTTTTCTATTAAGAAATATGTTCTTAAACATCTCATTAGTGCACTGTAGAATTTTTGTAACATTTTTCGTCGTCGTTAATGAAGATTTAAAAAGAAAACCGATTTTGAAAACCATCCATCAAAAAATGAACAATCTATGAGGATTAAAAAGATTGAATTTGCGCTCTTGCTGGACAAATATGCACCATAAAAACGGCTCTGCAACTCTTTCTTACTGTCTTTGTTCAGATATTTGAAAAAAATGCAAATTTCAGTCCATAGTAGCCTGTGCCGATCGTATAGTTTTGATTAGCCAAACTAACGACATTTATTTTAGATTACACCTTAAAGATTACTGGTAAATGTAAAACAAAAAATCTTTTTTTTAGCTATCTCAACATCTAAATTTTAAGTTTTTTTAGCTATCAACATCTTAATTTTAAGTTTTTTTCTTGCTATCTCAACATCTAAATTTTAAGTTTTTTTAGCTATCAACATCTTAATTTTAAGTTTTTTTTTCTTCAGAAAAATCTAATTTTTCGAATAAAACAATCTTTAATTGTTTGGTGCAGTTAAAAAGTGCATTTTTACTCGACAATCACAAAATAAAAATGGTTCTATGTCAAACTTAGAGCCTTCTACAATCTACATGGCCCGCACTAATACTGAAATCATCAAATTATTGAGATATTTGAGGAAAACTAAGAAACAATTTCTATTTTGTGACTGTTGAGTATAAACGCATTTTTTAATTGCACCAATCAATTAAAGATTTTTTAGGCGAAAAATTGGATTTTTCTGAAAATGAAATTTGGAAATAAAATGACTTAAAAAGATGTTGAGATTTATTGACCAGCTCAAATGAAACCTTTATGTATCTAGCTAAAAAAATATTTTTTTTACACTTACCAATAATCTTTAATGTATAAGCTGAAAAAATTGTTGTCAGTTTCGCTAATAAAAACCATATGATCGCACAGGCTACTTGGACTAAAATTTGCGATTTTTTCTGCAAATTTCTGAACAAAGACATTAAAAAAGGGTTAGCGGAACCCTTTTTTCAATTTTCGGTTTTAAAGTTCCCTTTTTAAATGAATTTTCATAAAAGGTCGGATAAATTTTCACATTTTACTCCAAAACCCTGAGAGCAGCCACCCCTCCCTCGTTCAATCCTAATCAGAAAACATGATGTTTTTGCTAGACACATGTCCTGTAATTTTAGATGTTTTGCGCCAAAACTTCTATTTGCAAAATGCAGTGTTCAGCAATTAGTTTAATTTGAAATTAAACATTTTTTCCCCAGGCACAGTGAGTCTCGGAAAAGATTTAAATTCTTTTCTTCAACATAACTTGTCATATATACATTACACCATTCAGATAATAACTGAAGCTAAGTTCAAAATGTGAAATAAGAATAATGTCCTGATCTTTTGAATATTTACTACAATTACCATATGTTTAGGAAACTACTGAGTTAAATATCTCCTAACTACATAAAATTACCATGTTCAGGAAACCACTCAGTTAAATATGCTCTAACTTCCTAAAATTACCATGTTTAGGAAACTACTGAGTTAAATATCTCCTAACTATCTGAAATTATCATGTTCAGGAAACTGCTGAGTTAAATATGTCCTGACTACCTAAAATTATCATGTTCAGGAAAGTACTGAGTTAAATATGTCCTGACTACCTAAAATTATCATGTTTAGGAAACTACTGAGTTAAATATGTCCTGACAACCTAAAATTACCATGTTTAGGAAACTGCTGAGTTAAATATGTTCTAACTACCTAAAATTACCATGTTCAAGAAACTACTGAGTTAAATATGTCCTGACTACCTAAAATTATCATATTCAGGAAACTGCTGAGAGTTACCGATGTTCCGATGATCATCAATGTTACCGGTATTTACAGTTCTGTGATCTAGGTAATATATAATATATATATATTATATATTATATATTAATGTGTCCCCGATGGGACCAATAATACTGTTCAATGATAATATTAACTATTCAATTATTCCATAAAATATCTATAAATCTACCAATATCCATCCATCAACAAATCACACCTGAATTTGATAATTTAAGTTTTTATTTTGAATTGGAATTTTTGAATTTGAAACAAAATTACTAATGTTTAAAAAAACATGAAATTGTGACTAAAGAAAAAGACTTTCACAAATTTCGAATTGTTTGAATTATTAGTGTAAATTCATGTGATCCTCAATTTATAAATGGGCACGTCCAATTCCCAATTGTTCCCTTGTAACCCTTGTCTAATCATAGACGTCAGAGAATTTTGGCCATTTTATAAACATTTAGGTAAAAAATCTTTGTTCAACTTCATTAGTTCTTAATTTTTTCTTTTGTGACAAAAAGCTTTTTTGGGAGTTATTGTAATCTGTCATAACTTTTTGAGTAACCTATTTGTAATTATACATTAAATTCATCTTATCATTTAACTCATTTTTGTGGTTGGCGCTTACAAATCGCCGACTTGCCTTACTAAAAATGTTCTTCAAATTCTGAGTGTACAGATTTCCAGACATTTCTGTTTCGTGCATTTTAATGTTTTAGGTGAATGTCGTCATTCCTACACCTGGGTCATCCTTCCTGGTTGTCTGCTCTTCTTAATTTTGTGCATTGCTGCTCTTCTATATTTTACCTCCTGTTGTTTACACGGCTGCTGCTGTTGCTGTTTACCCTGATGATCCAGATTCTCCTGTTCACTGTAGGTGTTTAACCTGAAATGCTGCTTTCATCGTCATATGTTTCAAGGGCTCCTGATTTTGAATTAAAATTTCGCTGTTTGTTATTTTATACTTAGATTGTTCTGTTTTATACATTCAGGAGATTATTGAAATAGTCCAAAATTTCCTGTTCAATAAATGATAAATTTAATAAGAAATTGCTAAACCTTGTCATCTAATTTAACAGAGGTGTAGATTTTGTCTATTAATCATCCCCCCCCCCTTTGGAAATAATTTTCCCCCATAAGTTATATATGCTAGAGCGTAGCGAGTAAAAAAAAATTAGGGTTTTATTCTCTGAATTTGGGAAAATAAATGATTTTTGGGTAAAAAGTATCTAAAAGAATGAAAAAATGCCTTTTAATGTGTCCAAAATTTTAAGTTTTTCCCATAATCATCAAAATAATTTTGAAAATACAGTGAACCCCTTAATAACGAATACATCGAAAGAATTTATCAAATGTCGTCTTGACAATTTTTCAATGAGTTTTATACTATATTACGTAAATTTCAGTATTTGCGAAATTGAATAAATAGCCATGAATATGCGGGAACAGTTTTAAAGAGTTCCATATAATCATTAAATTAAAAAACTAAATATCTGCAACATTCCATTATCAGAAAGTGAAGAATACGACAATTGATGAATTCTTTCGATGTATTCGTTATTAAGGGTTTCACGTTATAAAAATAATTATAAATATTATATAATTATTAAATGATTATAAATTATAAACTAAATAATTAGTTTCTTATTTCTCATTCACAAAGATTTTCTGGAATTTTATTGAAAAGACGACATTTGAAGAATTTGTAGAAATCTGCAAACAATTTCAAAGAAAATAAGAAATTCAATATAATGATGAAAACGAAATAATTTATTTTAGCATTGATTTATTGACAAATTTCTTTTGAGAAATATGGTCCTAACCATCTAATTAGTTTATTGTATAATTTTTACTTTATTTTTCGTCGTCGTTATTTAATAATTTTAAAAAAACCGATTCTGAAAACGTACCCACTCAAATCCATGATTTTGAACGTCGACTATACACTCAAACTCAGTAGTTTTACATCGTGGAAAGGTTTTATATGTCTCAAATGAATCCTAAAGAATTTAACTACAATACTACATACTCAGTTTAACTACCTTACATAGCCGGTCTGTCCCTTTAAAACTGTGTTTGAACTTGTGTGACGTCTTAGGTTTAGAATCTGTTGACCGTTGGTAACATTTTTGTTAAACCTATTCTAGGTTCAGGGTTACTGTACGGCGTCGTATATATCAATACAAGACGACTTACGATTTTAATTTGGATTTCTACCCCGCTAATTCAAACAGCATGTTGATGCACATAAACATAGAAAGAAAATGTAGTTGTTAATTAACAGCTTCTCTTTTTTTACTTGTAAGCTTGTAATTTGAAAAAAAAAGCTTGTTAGAAGTCAAAACTTAAATAGAAATAATGTTCTTATTTGTATTGATATGAACGCTGACCACCGAATATTGTATAATACCTCAAAAATCAAGTTGAATACTCATTGAGCTTTTACACCGAAAGAAATATTTATTTCTAACATTTTAACACCCGCATTGATCATCACTGCGCTACCATTAGTCGTTAATAAGCTGGAACTTTTTTGCCCCGTAAAACTTTTCAATCCTCATCATTCTACAAAGTTCGCGGATTTTCTCGTGTATTGAACGAAATGCGGTGCCCTGTCAAATCCATAAATGGATGTATATAATGTGTAATATGGGAGTATACTGAATGTAATCCTTCTACGTGTGTCGGACTAATACTAATTATATATCGATTTCGTCGATAATAATTACTTGTAAAATACTATGTTGAGATGATTCCGGCACCTCCCTACACACATTCCTAATATATTCCGCATCTTCCGCACTTTCTTCTCGTCTGCCTGTCTGTTAAATTGTTTGTCTGTCTGCCTGTCTGTTCAGTCGTTTGTCCGTCTGCCTGTCTGTTCAGTTTTTTGTCCGTCTGTCTGTTCAGTTGTTTATCCGTCTGCATGTCTGTTCAGTTGTTTGTCTGTCTGCCTGTCTGTTCAGTTGTTTTTCCGTCTGCATTCTGTTCAATTTTTTGTCCGTCTGTCTGGGTGTTTAATTGTTTGTCCGTCTGCCTGTATGTTAAGTTCTTTGTCCGTCTGCCTGTCTGTTTAGTTGTTTGTCCGTCTGCCTGTCTGTTCAGTTGTTTGCCCGTCTGACTGTCTGTAAGGTTGTCTGCTTACTCCTCTGCCTTTCTGTAAGCGTGTCTGTTTGCTTCTCTTTAGACTGGTCTGCCTGTCTGTAGGTTCGTCCGTGTCTGTAGGTTTGTCTGTTTGCTTCTCTGCCTGTCTGTAGGTTTGTCTGTTTGCTTGTCTACCTGTCTGTTAGCTTGTCTGCCTGTTTGGGTGTCTGCCTGTCTGTAGGTTTGTCTGTTTGCTTGTCTGCCTATCAGTAGGTTTGTCGTCTATAGAGAGATTCACCTGAAAAACAAAATGATTAATTAAAATTTGTATCCATTGCAGAAGATCAATAATGTTGGTAACTAAATTAATAATTGAAAGATTATTTTACCACCTTCGCCTTATCATTAGATCTCCTTTCACCTATATAAGAGATAAACCGACTAACAAAGACGAGTCTTCTCATTTTAAAGACATGCAAGCTATTATAAATCATAAACCATCATCTCATTCAAGAATTAGTATATACTTACAGTAAGAACCAGAAAACGCTGAAATAGTAAAACGACTCATAGACTTAAGTTATAACATTAAAAAATCCAATGAGCATTTGACAATTTTGCAGTATAAATAAACCCATTTTACTTAATAAGGTATTTGATAAGTGTCTATTGAAACTGTTTCCTTTGTAACAACATTCCATACACTGCTTGGCGAGGAGCGTCTGTAATAAATACAGTAATCCCCATATTTGTTAACCTGAGCATACCTAGATATATTACGTTGTACATTGTCTGTAAATCTAAATGCGCTTATCATAAACTACGCAAAACTTGTAATGCGATTAGCCTAGCCTAGTTACGTCTATAAAACTGTATTGTGATTAACTTTTAACTTCGTCAGTAACTGACTTAACTACACTTATATATATCTGCGCTAATCTTGTAAATACGTACATCAAACTAAAACTGCGCTAAATATATATATATATATATACATATATATATATATATATATTTCGACGTAAAACTTGTAATTGCGTCGATAAACGTTAACTTATAACATAGATCACTTAATACAAATTAGTTGGAATAAACTCTGCTGGAGTAATTTGGTCCTCTTTGAAACATACAAGCTGAGATTGTGCTCATTGGTTTGGCATTAATCGATTAAGAGCTTGTGTCCGTGTTGACAATGATAGCTGAGAAATTTGTGCCCATATAGGTTTGACATTGATCGCCTTAGAGCTTGTGTCCCTGTTGACAATGATAGCTGAGCTTTGTCAATGTTGAAATTGATGGCTGACGATCAGTACCTGGATTGATACATGGGTGTTATGAGCATGGCATTACCGTCGACCCTTATTTTATTGAATGATGGGTTGTCTGATAATAATAATATCTGAAGTATTACTTGATTGCCGTCTTCCTATTCCATTATTTTCTGGTTCGTGGGACACTCCTGAAAGTCTGATTTGATTTGATGAGAGCTAATGCCGTTTCAATATTATTAAAATCTTAGAAACAGAAATGGAAAAAATTTATTAAATTGGTTGATTCGTTTCTACAGCACAATATTGATGTGAGCTTTATTAGAAAATATGTACACAATTTAATAAATGAATATTGGATCCTTGTGTTTTCCCTGTGTATTGTTCATATTGTTCATATCTGGTTGGTTAATTGTTGCAGAAGACTAAAAATACTATAATGTCCCTAATGTGGCAAACAGTATAGACATTCACAGGCTATTGGTCGTTTCAAGGCCTTTATATGGAAATTCTATCTATCTATCTATCTATCTATCTATCTATCTATCTATCTATCTATCTATCTATTAGTGTACTGCTGTAGACTGAAGTTAGACGTAACATACTTTTTGTTGCATGTATTTGTATCTATAATTATCACACATAATTAGTATTGTATATGTTATACATTAGAGCACTGTAGGTACAATACACACACAAATATGAAGTTAATTTGTTATTTAGTAAATAGTATTTTGAAATATTGTTGTTTTTAAAAAGGAATTGAATCTTTGCCACAAGCTCAAAATTTCTAATCCCTAAATCTTTGCAACTTGATATTGCAAATCTTTGATATTTCAAACTTAGATTATTTAATCTAACAGAAATAATAGTTTGAAATATCTATGGTCTACACCATCAAGTTGCAAAAATACTGGGTTTAGAAAAACAGAATTTGTGTCAAAGAATCAATTTTTTTATGCCTAAGTTGGGAAGTATTTTTTCCAAACCTAAACTTTAGATTTCTATATTTTTTGGTGGAATTTATTGCCCTTTCTTGTCAGCCTTAATGAAAATTATATACAGGGTTACCCACAAAGGATGAGACTTCAGAGACGATTATACAGAATTTATACCTGTTTACTAATATTTATTTTTCCCTGAAACTATAAACTAGTTTATTCTTTTCCCTGATCATTGATTAAGCCATAAGAAGACTATATTCAAGGCATAAGACTTAATTAAAACTCAGAAATCAGAATCGTCAAATTTAAAGAGTTTCAGGTCGTCTTAACAGCCTCATCCTTTAGGGGAAACCCTGTATATAACTGCAGAAAATCCTAAGGCACACTTTTTTGATAATTCAAGTCACTACATCCTTAGCGACATGCCACAGCCAAACTAAAAGAATAAGGAATGAGATAACAATTATTCCGCTGTTTATTGGTTTTCACTTGCAGTTGTTCAAATCTATACTGTATACTCACCATAAACTAAGCTTTGTACGTACTGCAGTAATTTGCAGTACACTTGTAGTAAATGCCCAACTCCATATGAGGATCTCAAACACGCATCTATCCAGGTACTATTCAGTTTCACTTTGCTATCTATGCTAAACCCAGATACAATCTCATGAGCTTTCGATGTCAACTAGACACTAGCTTGTATTCTATCAACGCCAAACCAATGGGCGCGATCTCGGTAGCTATCAATGTCGACACAGACACTAGC